CATAGTCACTGACTGCAGATAGACTCTAATGGAATAATAATAATAATAATAATAATAGTACTAAGCGAACACTAAAAAGGCTTCTTTAGTGCAAACTTCAAAACATGAGAGAGTGATTACAAAGAAGCTAACTTGAGAAACAAACTTTCCTAGGGAAGACATCAAGTTTCTCTTGCAGTAAATATTATCTGGTGGAAGTGTATAGAGACTACCCCTTTTCTTCTTGAGCGATTTTTCTTTGTACCGTAGGAGGGAATAGAGATTGAAACTTTAATCCTTGCGGATTGTACAGTCTAGTATAATCTGTCATTACTCTTTCTTTTGCTACTTGGGATACATCAGTCTTTTTCTTTGTTAATTGATGCGTAATCAACAGCCAAGTATTCATTCCAAGTTCAATCATCACACTACTTGTTAAGTACATGTTGCAGTAATCAGCGCAACCCAAAACTAAAACATCAACGCCTGGATCAGAGTTCAGGATAAGACATGACTCATCACTTGGTCGAGTCCTTGAGGCCTAGTGGACTTCTAGAACGCTTGCGCTGCTTTGACGCAGCCAGGTCCTTGTTGTCTGCTTCCACTTCCCTCATTATCCGCTTGTCCTTAAAGTACATGTCGACCTTGCTGTATATATATACCTCTGGTAAATTATCCTCTATATCTTTATTTTGTGTTGCTGCTCATGATATCACGTCGACTAGTGTATGTCTATAATTTCTTTAAGTCTACAGTCATCCAGCTCGTCCAGCTCGTCTCTCAGCCTAGCTAGTAGCTTCAATCGTGCCTGGTCTTTCTGCATCTGAGCTTTCTCGGTATAATAGCCATGTACAGACTCAGCAGGAGTAGATATTTCCATCATGCCAATTCTCAATAGCACAAGCGATGAGTATGTAATACTTCAAGACATAGTACGGTGGAAGGGGCAGTTGCTATAGTACTTTCACTACCCGTGCCGAACATGACGGATTATGAACTTATCTCAGAATGTGTTTTACCTGGGTAACGCAGCTTCCAGAGTTCTCATTGTTTAATTGATCGAAAACCCGTTAGTACAGTGTTTCATCCTGGGTTTGCGCGTTCGACATTGTAGGTTTCGTGTTAAAGTGTTTGAATTTGGAGTAAGAACAAAGCAGTTGACTAGTAATCGAGAGCAGAGGTGCTAGTTGGGCATTGTCGTACGAGTATGTGTGGTTCTGACAATCTATGACTGGGTTCATAGCCCGAATTGTCCATCGAGGAGGTAGCGGAACCAACCCCGAAGTCTGTCATCATGGATAAAATCGACCTCAATTTTCTCGGAAACCTACCAGATATATCGAACAGGGACTTACAAAGCCGAGTGGAGGAGTAAGTTATCAATTGCGGTCTAAACCAAGAATATACAGCCACTGCGACTAAGGCAGGGATTAAAAACAGTTGAGATTGATGGACAAATGCGAGATGTAAATTGATGCTTGGAAACTCTTCGTGTGAAATCCCACGGAGCCTGCATCTAGATGAAAAGAATGTCAGCTCTTCCAAAACCTCAAAAGCTGGATGAAGCTACCACGAGAAGTTGGAGGCGTTACAAAGGCCGAACCAACCATGACTCACCAACCAGGGTGTCAAATAAGCATAGCTACATTGTCATTGCTGGTCCTTTAAATGTTAGTATCTGTCTCACGGAGCAAGACGCCAAGTGTGTTGCAGACGAAGTGTGTCGTCTATTAAATGAGTATCCATATGTACACACAAGCAGATATGGACGCACTTTCCGAGCCCGTATCATGGTAGGGTTTTATACCTACAGCACCAACAAACACTGAAAACATCAACGACGCATAAATGCCTGTTGAAACTCTGCATATTGTCATGCGTTCTTCGAATTTGCATAGTGTTCACCACGTCTCTAAAATAACAACACTCGATCCAAACAGAAAAGAGGATAGCAGAGCCGTGGACATGACTGGATTCGTCTCTAGTGTTCTGTTATTCCGTTTCTAGATAATAGTATATATAAGACTAATAAGCTCAGCGTATAACTCTTTCAATGCCTAATTGTCCAACTTTCATGCAATATCATGCTCAAAAAGCCCTAAGTTGTATATTTCAAAAAAATGTCTCATGAAAGTTGTTCTATGCTTTTCCTTTCTCTAATAAGAAAATAAGAATTGTATCCGTTACTATCATCCAATAGGCTAGTTAAATACTTGCATAATGAACTATCGAAGAGGCTATACAATTAGAGAGAAATTACGCACCTGATCACGCCAGATGCATGCTAACGCCACAGAAGATTACGTCTGTAGGTGCATCAACTACGCACAGGCGTGAAGCGATTCTTTCTCCTCTGCAGGCTAGACGCAATCCACGTGCATATTATATAGGGCGTTATCATGGCAGTGAAAATACTGCATCTATTTGGAATATGTATTCAGTGATTGGTTTGGTGTTAATGTTCAAAGCTAGACACGTGACTTATTATGGAATGGCCATTTGAATAAGACATTTAGACAAAGAGACATGTTCACTGAAACATATGACACCCTCCTGGAACATAACCTTGTATGAAGCATCTTGAAATTTTCTTCCTTCATCTACTTCTTGCGATTTCCACACGCCCTTTACAATGACTTCGTTTTTCCTTTACAACAACTTCATATCTCTACTGCAACAATCTCCCGTTTTCTTCACAACAACCTCGCATGACATTGTTTCCAGCATCACATCGAACTAGCACGGTAATTATATCATTAACTCCATCCCGTGCGTTCGCTCTTCCAATCAAGTAACAGTCCGAGTTCACGAATTCGTACGCGATCATACCAGCTAATCTAAACCTATTTCACGAGAATTAAAAATATGCCGGAAATCTACGGCACATACATACTAGACGGTTCTCGTCGTCGGGGTGCCATTTCTGGCCAAGGGCAGGGTAGTCAAGCCAGTCAAGGTGAGGGCAGTAGGAGTGGCCAGAGTCAGTAAAATAGAAAATAGTCGAATATATGCACCTCTATTATTGGTTGAGTAATTAAAAGACATGATGGTGTTGCATAAAACAAGTTCTCATTTGCAATGTGCAGGCCACTGTCGTGGTCGCCTTGTAAAGTAGTGTTTATGGTGGTGATTGACCAATCGCGTGTGACTGATTCTTCAAATCCAAACCTTGCCTAGTTGGGCGCTAGTGAGAGAAAAGGCTTGGCATCGCAGCTCGGATTGCAGCTTTCCAACATCAGCGTCACGGCCGCCAGCCCATCCCATTGCACGTCCACACGCACACCTGACATCTTCACAATGGCCCTCGGACCCGAAACCAACGCAAAGACCAAGACCACGTATGTCTCGACCCTCCCCGCACGCCACAGCACCCGTGTCCGCCTCGAAAGATCCCGCACCCCAGATGGCACTGCATACCAGGCACACGTGTGCCTGGCCGAGTAGCGCGAAGCGTATGCTGACACTGGCATAGATGGCACATTGGCGCATGGGGTAACCCCTACGAGGGAGGTGGCCGGCCCGGCAAGGGCATCGTTACCTATGCGCTGAGCCCCAACCGACAACGCCCCATGGCCCAGTTCCTCAGCAAGGGCTTCTGGAACGTCGTTCGCCGATCAAAGAACCAGGTCCTCTACTTCATTCCACCGCTAGCCATTGCCTACGGAACCATGCAATGGGCGATTGAGAGGTGAGTCGATAGCGGGCTGAGGTGCGCGACGTCAGGGCACTGGGCGGAACGCAACGCCATTTGGAATCAAGACTGACTGCGAAACTAGGAACGAGTTCCTCAACTCCAAGACGGGCCGTGCTCTGTACGGTGACGAGGAGTAAATGCGCTGAGGAGAAAGAGAAGCCGGCTTGATGGAGGGCAGTGCATGTCGTTGAAGGACTCACGTGGGGGAGATACACAACATGCTAGGCCACTGTAGCAAGACGACAAATAGACTGTACAACCACGACTTGAATCTGCGTCTTCCCGTTTGTTTGACTGTATGGATGCTTTGTCGGCTCTCCCGGCTACCTCTACAGCACCGAAGAGCGTCGTAGTAGGCCTGACACGATAACCAACAATTCGCCACGTGCCCTGCTCCGAGCATTGGAGCGCATTGCAAGCACTCGTTGTGGTTGAGTGCACGACTTGCACAATCTACATAGATGGATGTCTGCAACACAGGGCACGAAGCCATTTGGGCCATGTCGCATCCACAAGGGCCAAAGTGGCGTGAACAATATGTGACTGTGCTGATGTCATGCATGGCTGCTGCAAAGCGCAGGCTGCCATGGGCCAATTAATCTCAGGCGGCTTCTGACAGTTGCTGATGGAGGGTCCAGGTTGGTGCGACAGGCACATGTTCACGCGTCCAGCCAGGTCGGGCGGCCCCGCTTAGTCAGTCGGCGTGTCGGTGATCGAGGCAACTTCGATGATTCTGTCATGTCTTAGCTTTTGCCATCAAGTGCCTAACCCGCCACAAGACTCTTTTCCGCCGCCAGCGCGCGTGGCAGTCCAGTCCAACCCGGCGCGGTCTCCTCTTTGTACCGCCATCTCCTTTCTTTTCCATTCCTCCCTTTACTGTATTATACCCGATTCCCTCGTTACCTGCTGCTGCCCCTCCTCGATCCACCGACGCTTCGCCTAGGCCGCCGCCATGTCCACACTGCTCCGGCAATCAGGCAACCTCGCACGTCTGTCCCGACCGTACATCAATGCCGCTGCTGCAAGGGCACCCCGCACATTACGGACACGCGCACCGCTACCACAATGCATATACGCCCAGCAACGCGCCCGGAGGTTTGCGACCGGGCCCCCCGAAGAGCCAAAGAACAAAAAGGACGATGACCGAGTGAAGGAGGACGGCCGTAGCGAGAGGCTCGATTCTGATGAAGCTGCGAATTTAAACAAGAGCAATCAAGGACAGCCTCAGATGTCCAAACTCACGCCAGAGGAGGAGAGGATGCTGGATCAGCTGGTGTCATTTGTATCCATGGGCGTCCCAAAGGCTCAGAAGCAATATATCAAGGAGGCAATGGACGAAATCAAGCGGAACGGCATACCGCCTGAGCTGCGCCTAGAGATGGACAGGCTGGAAAGAGGCGAGAAGCTGGATCTGGCTACGGCTGCAAAGATCTCACGCCTAACTACCAACATGGCCCGCAAGGTAGCCGATCAGCAAAAGTTCAAAGACGAGAGCTCGCAAAAGTCGCACCAAAAGTCGGGCGCACACGACCCAGGCCCAGGCAAGGAATCCAAGGGCAGCGCTGGCGGTCCTGGCGGTCCTAGTGGGCCTGGCTTCGGCGGCAGCATGGACACAAATACCATTGTCATCAGCGCTTTCCTTGCCTACCTCACGTACAAGATGATCTTCCCAGGCGAAAATACAAAGGAGATTACATGGCAAGAGTTCCGGACGACGTTCCTGGACAAGGGCCTGGTCGAGAAGATTGTCATTCTCAACGGGAACAAGGCAAAGGTGCACCTGCACCGCGAGGCAGTGGCCTCCATGTACCCCGACTCTCCCTCTGTCAACCCCAACTTCTACTACTACTTCACTATTGGCTCTGTCGAGGCGTTTGAGCGCAAGATGGACGATGCGCAATATGAGCTGGGCATTCCCAGCTCGGAGCGCATCCCCGTCGCATACTCGAGTGAAATCTCGTGGTTTGGAACCTTCTTGTCATTTGGACCCACGATTCTCCTTCTCGGTGCACTATTCTACTTTACAAGACGCGCAGGAGGCGGAGCAGGAGGCGGTGGCGGTGTCTTTGGCATGGGCAAGAGCCGCGCCAAAAAGTTCAATCATGAGACAGACGTCAAAGTCAAGTTCAGTGATGTTGCTGGAATGGACGAGGCCAAGCAAGAGATTATGGAGTTTGTGTCCTTCCTCAAGGACCCAAGTCGGTTCCAGAAGCTCGGCGCAAAGATACCGCGTGGTGCTATTCTCTCAGGATCCCCCGGTACTGGTAAGACGCTGCTTGCCAAGGCTACTGCTGGAGAGTCTGGGGTTCCATTCTTCAGTGTCAGTGGATCCGAGTTTGTTGAGATGTTCGTCGGTGTTGGTGCCTCGCGAGTCCGAGACTTGTTTGCCAACGCGCGCAAGAGCACGCCGTGCATCATCTTCATTGACGAAATCGATGCCATTGGCCGTGCTCGATCCAAGCAAAATTTCGGCGGAGGCAATGATGAGCGGGAGGCTACGCTGAATCAGATTCTCACGGAGATGGATGGTTTCAACACTACCGAGCAAGTGGTTGTTTTGGCGGGTACCAACCGACCGGATGTGCTGGACAAGGCCCTCATGCGACCTGGTCGTTTCGATAGGCACATCAACATTGACAAGCCCACCATGGACGGCCGTGCCCAGATTTTCGGCGTTCATTTGAAGAAGATCATCACCAACGAAGACATGGAGTTCTTGAAGGGCAGGCTAGCAGCTTTGACACCAGGGTTCTCTGGTGCCGACATTGCCAACTGTGTCAACGAAGCTGCATTGATTGGTAAGAGGTTCTGTTTTCTTCGACTTGTACTGTTGATGACTAACAGGCATCAGCCGCCCGCGCCAACGCCGATACCGTGGCCATGGTGCATTTTGAACAAGCCATTGAGCGAGTGATTGGTGGCCTCGAGAAGAAGTCGCTCGTGCTCAAGCCCGAAGAGAAGAAGACTGTGGCATACCACGAAGCCGGGCATGCCATCTGCGGTTGGTACTTCAAGTGGGCGGACCCTCTTCTCAAAGTGTCCATCATCCCGCGTGGGCAGGGAGCGCTCGGCTATGCGCAGTACCTGCCTAACGGCGACACTTACCTGATGAATGTGAACCAGCTGATGGATCGTATGGCCATGACGCTTGGTGGGCGTGTGTCTGAAGAGCTACATTTCGACACTGTGACGTCTGGAGCGTCGGACGACTTCCGCAAGGTGACGCAGATGGCGACTGCCATGGTCAGCAAATGGGGGATGAGCAAGAAGATTGGCTACATCTACTTTGAAGATGGCGAGGGCCAGCAACTGACGAAGCCTTTCTCGGAAGACACGGCCAAGAACATTGACATGGAGGTCAAGCGCATTGTGGACGAAGCATACAAGCAGTGCAAAGACCTGCTTACGGAGAAGAAGCATGAGGTAGGGCTGGTTGCGGAAGAGCTGCTCAAGAAGGAGATGCTGGGTCGTGAAGACATGATCCGGCTACTTGGACCGCGACCGTTTGAGGAGAGCCAAGACTTCCACAAGTACTTTTCTGGGGAGTACGGCAAGGCACCGGGGTATGTGGAGCCCCACGGAAACGACGGGGTCAAGGGGCCGCTGGTGCCGCCTAGCCCAGCCACATTCAAGGATGTGGAGGGGGGTCGGTGAAGGTAGAGGGGGGGTGATTTATTGATTGATTTTGTGGGATATGGCGTGGTATAGCATGAGCAGGCTGACGACGGCTCGGGCAATGATTCCACTCTTGAGAGTATGATGACTGGCTGCGTAGCATTGCAGCGTAGGATGGCAGCGTGTACATTACAACTTGTTTGTTTTGAAGAGAGCAAACATCAACAACCAATGATAGCATTTAGCAGCACGAGAGCTTGGCCATGTTTTTTTGGGGCCCTGCATGCACATGGGTCTGTCTAGCTGGGCACACAGATGAGCTTGCCAATGGCTAGTCGATGACAGTCCAGGGCCTCGTTGCCGCGCAGGGCTAGCAACTCTTGGACCGTGATGCTAGATGCTTGGGCAAATTTCCAGCATGTATCCCCCTTTTGAATGAGCAGCTGCTGGGTGTCGGGGCCACAGTCCAGGATGTCGTCTTTGGGGGGCCCGTCGTCGCTTCGGTACACGAGCTTGAAGACGAGGATCAAAAAAACAAGGACGAGCAGGGCAAAAGGCAGCATGATGCGCAGGGCGTCGCGGTTTTGCTTTTTGATGGCGCGTTCCTGGTCGTGCAACATGTCGTCAAAGTTGCTGGCGGGTGGACCATGTTGGCCGGGTGCGTCCAAGTACGTCTCATGAGGAGAGGGCTCGGCAACGAGATGCAGCTCGCCATAGCGGTTGCCGGGGTCGGATTCATAGGTGTTGCCTTTGTCGTCGCGGAACGTGTATGTTTGCGTGTCCGAGTCGTAGCCGATGCGTTGAAAACCGGGCGGGAGCCTCTCGGCGTCCTGCGTGGGCGTTGGTTAGCTAGTGTACCATAGTGGGCGGGGTGTGTACATCAAGGGTACGGGTTGGGTTGGGGGAGAGTGGTGGGTGCGCACGCTGTCCATGTCGGACCATCTGGCCATGGCGGAACCGAGTATCTGAGGGCGGATGCAGAGCGGGAAAAGGGGAGGTTGTTGTGGTGGTTGTGCTTGTTGCGGGAGGGAGCTGCGTAGAGGGCACAGAAGGGAAAAAGGGATTGGGAGGGCAACGGCTCAGGCGTCCATGGACACACGTCTACATATACATACGACAATACGAAGGCTGTTTCATGGCACACGACGGTTGGACGTCAGCAAGGCCGTGACAGCCAATAAAGCAGGGGCCATGGAGCAGCCGCGCACGGTGACGCGCCACTTCTGTGGCTGAGGCACGAGTGTGGGAATGCATGCGTGTGGCTAGTGGCCATGGACTGGTACGGCGTGCGTAGTCGGAGAATGCAGTGTGAGCGTGAGTGTGAGTGTGAGTGTGAGTGCACCGCCTGGACTGGATGCCGGGCGGGAGGCGGCTGCAGCCAATCAGAGGCACGCCGGGCGCAAGATACGCATGTTGAATGGTTCGCGCCATGTCTAGAGTCCATGTGCATACATGCTACTTCACCCAAGTGCAGGTCCATGTAACATCGAGGCAAGGCCGGGCTCTCTGCTAGACACTGTTGTGGTCACGCTCTCGCTCTCGCCCACTTGACTCGCAGCAGCCACGGCCACCGTGTCTCGGTGGAGGCCAATTGCTCGTGGCTCCGCGGGCCAGGCTTGGTGCTGGCTGACACGTTGACCGGACAAGCAGCCGGTGCATGTCTGCTACAAACAAGCAACATGCAAGTGCAAGCAGGATGCCAATACCGTCGCCGCCACTGAGGCTGTGCGTGGCGCGCGCGCAGGTGAGGCGGCGCATCGACGTCATTCGCCGGGCGGCGTGGGTGGTGGGTGGCGGTCCGTGTGCGCGAGTGCGTGAGGCGGCCAAGGCCAAGGCGGCCGCCGCGCATAGATAAGGCCCCGACGGCCGCTTCACTTTCTTGGCCATCCGCCCGCCCCTCACCCATACCCTCGCGCGCCAGAGTACGTACATTTAACGGTACTCATCCCCCCTCCAGCCGTCCCTACACCAAAACCGATGGGAGAACCCGACGATCCCTCTATACGCAGCTTCAAGTCTAAGGCAGCGTCTGCACTTGGCTTGGGACGCAAGACCGTCACTGTCCTCCCGACCCACGCCCCCCACGCCACCATCCATGGCACCAGCGCCGCCAGCAGCAACACCAACAGCATCGACGCCCGCGCAGACTCGGCCAACAATGAAAAGCCCCTCGCGTCCAGGTCCAATACCCCGCCCCATGGAGATGCGTCTTCCGCCATAGGATCCGAGAAGCGCCCGTTCTACTCGCCCGCGCGCATCAAGAACGGCTCCCTGCGATTCCTCACCCACACCAAGAACGCAATCACCCACAGCTGGATCAATGTCCTGCTCGTCTTCGTGCCGCTCGGCATTGCCGTCAAGCTGGCCGGCATGAAGTCGGAGATTGTCTTCTCCATGAACGCCATTGCCATCATCCCCCTGGCCGGCCTGCTTGCCCATGCGACCGAAGTCGTCGCTGCTCGCGTGGGAGATGCCCTTGGCGCTCTGCTCAACGTGTCGTTTGGCAACGCCGTTGAGCTCATTCTCTTCATCATCCTGCTTGCCTCGGGCCAGATCGAGGTCGTGCAGGCCTCGCTGCTCGGCTCCATCCTCGCCAACCTGCTCCTCATTCTCGGCATGGCCTTTTTGCTGGGCGGCCTCAAGTACCAGGAGCAGGTCTACAACAACACCGTCACCCAGATGAGCGGTGTCATGCTTGCATTGGCCGTCACCAGTCTTCTGCTGCCCACTGCTTTCCATGCTGCTTTCGAGGACAATGCCATTGCCGACCACGAGACGCTGTACGTCAGTCGCGGCACCAGTGTCATCTTGTTGCTCGTCTATGCCCTCTACCTGCTCTTCCAGCTGAAGAGCCACCGGTACCTCTATGCCAGCACCCCGCAGCACATTATTGACGAGGAGTCACACCCGGGTGTCTTGGCGGGCGCCTTTGACTCGTCCAGCTCAGACTCGTCGTCCAGTGACAGCAGCAGCGACAGCGACGGCTCTTCCAACTCGGATGGCACTATGAAGAAAAAGGCCAAGCGCATGGTGAAGAGGCTCCGTCGCAAGTCTAGTGCTAGCTCCACCAAAGAAGGAAGCGCGCTGTCGGCTCTAAGCTCGCCCGAAGGAGAGCCTCACCAGAGTCCCTTTGACATGGAGCGGGAAAGGACCAATAGCGTTACCACTGCCAACACTGGCCTCCCCGCCAGATCTCGCAGACACTCGTTTGACGTCATGAGCGGCGACGAAGCCGACACTGACCACCATGTGCCAGTTGTCCGTGACTTTGAGGCCGCCTCGCACACGTCGCAGTCCATGACCAAGAAGGAGAGGCGCAGACACAAGAAGAGCAAACGCGACCGCCGTGACCGCAACAGGGTTAGTACCATTCCCGAGAAGGAGGTGGCACCGCCAGAGCCTACGCCCAAGGTTACCTTTGCAGAGGTGCCTCAGGAAAGCCCGGCCGCGCCCGCCAACGCACGCCGGTACAATCGCCCTGGTCTGCCTTCGCTGCTTTCCAACAATGTCTTTTCGAACCCTCAGAATCAGGCTCCACTGGGAGGCCCTGCTCCCAACATTCGCATGGCAGCGCCTCGCGACAACACGGCCCTTCGTGCACCTCTCCGTCGTTCCAAATCCCTGCCAGACAAAATCGGCCGCACACCCTCGGATGCCAACGCTGCCAACCGCCCGGTTGCCTCGCCCCAGGCCGCCATGGACTTGGATGAAAATGACGAAGCTGACGAGACGCCCGACATGTCCATCAAGGCTGCCATCTTCATGCTTCTGATCAGCACTGGTCTCGTTGCTGTATGTGCCGACTTTATGAGCGACGCCATCGAACCCATGGTCGAGACGTCTGGCATCAGTCAATCCTTCATTGGACTCATTATTCTTCCCATTGTTGGCAACGCCGCAGAGCACGTGACGGCTGTGACGGTGGCCATGAAGAACAAGATGGATCTGTCTATTGGTATCGCTGTCGGCTCGTCTATCCAAATCGCCATTTTCATCACGCCGGTGATTGTGGTGCTTGGCTGGATGATGGGCAAGGACATGACGCTCTACTTTAATATTTTCGAAACGGTTGCCCTCTTCGTGACGGTTCTCGTTGTAAATTTCCTGGTCCTAGACGGACGGAGCAACTACCTAGAGGGTAGCTTGCTCATTGCCGCATATATTATTATCGCTCTGGCGAGCTTCTTCTACCCCGATGGCTGCGCAGCCAGTGCTATTGGCGGAAATGAGCACCGCTGCAAAGACGCCGAAGTCTCGCAGGTTGTGCAGGGCATGGTGCGGAGGATGGTAGGCATGTAATGCAATCATTGTAGCCATGATTGCCGAGGTCTATTCAACATTGGATGAGCTCAACTGTCGAAGCTGTATTCTGCAGTCACACTTGGGTGACGAGTGCTGTGTGAGCGGCATGGATTCGTCTGCCCCCCCCCGTCAAATTGACTTTTGCACTCTTCTTTTCCAACTACATTTCCATTCGCTATATTTTCAGTACCACCTAGCAAGCTTTATTACGCCTCGTTGGCCTGTCCCCAATACAAATTGATAGTTTGCGCTCAGCGCCGTCTACGTTTGGTTGCTGTTGTACTGACTGTGCATGGGCATGTGATGAATGATGTGACGTCGAAACAAGCACCATAGCTGGCATGCCATAGCAAGCAAACGAAGATGTATATTTTGGGGTGGCCAGAGCTGCATCCGCAGTCCCCTCAATGCCATCATGGCAGGCCTGTTAAATTCAAAGGCCTGAAACTGGAACTTGGGCCATGATGAATATCGGGTCGTGAGTGAATATATGGGGTACATGTAATACATGTAATAAGGGACGTGTTGGCCAAGCGCTATTTGTAGAAACCTCATGGCATGTTTCAGCCTGGATAAATACAACGATCCCTGTGGCAATGGTGCTCATGAATTCTGCCACGAGTTTATTTCGTGCTTGGCATGTTGATAGTTGGACTTGTCATTACGCGGGTCTACTTGGCGCAATACCAAGCTTCTCTCCCGCTGCACAGGGCTGCCCGATGATTAGCCGGCGGCACTGCATGACACGCAGCGTGTTCCGCGTCCGGACGAAAGGGCTGCCCACCCACGCACGCAATATACACTGTACATGTCCAAGACCGGAAAACCAAAACTCCAAATGCGAAAAAAACGGGTTCCGCCCTGCCCCGCGCCAGTCGCGCCCATCCAAGCATGGCTTTAACCTGCGTTTCCGCCTGCTGCACGGAGGCATGCGCTTGCCAAGCCACGACCACGTCCCAAGGGCTGATTCCCTAGGCTCGAGCTGCTGGGTAGATTGGCTGCTTGTTTCACCAAACCAAGGCCGTCTTTCCGCTTTGGGGCATACATGCCGTGCTCCTAATGGCCTCCCGCCGGTGCATCAGGACTAAATTGTTTACCATAAACGAGGCCAAGACGCCCTAGAAGGATAATGTAGTCCCCCGACGCCTTCTTGGCTGGCTGTACTTAAGGATTGCACCAGAATGCTAGCTGAGTACCACTAGTCATTCCTCTCCAGCTTGCGTCGTTAGTTTTGTTCATTGGTTTCGTCTGCCTGATAGGTGCTGTGCATACTACATCAGCACACAGGAAAACATGGGTGTCAAATCCTTCTTCGTTGCAGCCCTTGCTGCTGTCGCCGTCGCTGGCCCGATTCCCGATCCGCTCCATGTCATGAGACAGAGTGGACCCGCTGCTGGACAGGTATGCTCGCCCTTGTTAGAATAAACAGCATTCGTGTTTTCTGTCGTGGGCCAAACTAACAATGTATCAAGGTCATCACAAAGTGCAATGCCCCCGGCCAAATCGCCCTCGCATACGACGACGGCCCATCGCAATTCACCCAGAAGCTCGTTGACACGCTCAACGCCGGTGGCGCAAAGGGAACCTTTTTCGTCACTGGATCTCTCTACGGTATGCGTCTTGTCTACTGCTTAGTCTCTCTCTCTTTTTTTTATTGAAAATATCCTAACACAACCATAGGATGCATCTACAACCAGCGATCTGCACTGCAAAATGCCTACAAGTCCGGACACCAAATTGCCTCGCACACTTGGTCGCACCCGCAAAACTTTGGATCGCTGTCGTCCAACGACCTGACGACGCAGATGACGCGGCTCGAGCAAGCTCTCGTCAACATCATTGGGGTGAAGCCCACGTACATGCGCCCGCCGTACCTGGCCACGGGCGGCAACGTGCTGTCGACGATGCGCAACCTGGGCTACCGCGTCATCACGTCGGACGTGGACAGCGAAGACTGGAACGGCAAGACGCCGCAGCAGAGCCAGCAAAAGTTCCAGCAGGCCGGCACAGGCGGAAACGGCCACATCAGTCTCATGCACGAGACGTATGCCTCGACCGTCAACACGCTTACCCCCTGGCTCATCAACTGGGCCAAGAACAACGGCCTCAAGCTTGTCACGGTTGCCGAGTGCCTTGGCGACAGTGGCGGCGCCTACAAGAGCGGTACTCCCAACGGTGCTTCGTCTTGCTGAGCGAGGGCGTTGTGAGTCCAAACCTATATGTATATACACGACATGTCATGTCCAAAGACTTTGTCTAAACGCACAGGCGTCACTTTCCCTTCTCTGTTTACATTTCAAATATACTTTTTTTTCTCTCTTCTTCCCATCATGCGTGTTGTCCTCTTGAGACACGCTATTTTGTGACATGATGTTGTGGTCTTGTCTCGTCCCGCACTGCTCGCTTGCCAAGTACTGTAAAGTAAGATCTAGTGACCTTGGACTTGCTCGCTAATCTGCGAAGAGCGGGAGATATGTCAGGGCAGTGGAGCCCCTTGGCAGATTGTACCTGTTTTTTTTTTGCTGAGACATTGTATCCATGTAGGGCGTAGGCGTACAAAGTCGATTGTCCAATCAGACAAGTCACGTAAGTAGTAGTGTTTGTTGTGCAGGGTTGAGGAACATGGACACTGGATAATAGATAGCATTTAGTCTGGTAAAGAGCGCTAAACATGGCTAAATCCCTCGTCGAAATGAAGCGGCAACTACTCAAATGCCCTTCTTCTTCTCGTCCTGGCTAATGACCCACCATGCGTGGATGATGCCGGGAATCCAGGCCAGGCAGCACAGGGCAATGTTGATGAGCAATTGTGCGCCGCAGCCTTCTTTCAGCGCGACGGTGACAAAGGGCAAGAAGATTGCGAGAAAGTAGAGGAGAACGTTGCTCTGTGGGTGGCGTGTCGTGGTTAGTTACATGTGCAGTTGGTGTGTACATGGCAAGGGGCGGATCGGATCGGATCGGGTCGAGGGTCAAGGAGGAAGGTGGTGCGAGGGGGGGAATACTGACTGTGCTTGATGCCATTGTGTGTGTGTGTGTGTGTGTGTGTATGAAAGCGTGGAATGTGTACTTGAGTCTACCCAGTAGCCACACGAGGTAAATGTCTTGTATGGAGAAGAGTGTGGAAGAAGACGCGGGCGGTCTGATGTAATATATAGATAGATAGATAGATAGATATATATATATGTATAGTTTGCCCACGGACAAGGTGGTTTGATTAGGATCCAAAGACGGAAGACGGAAGCAAGAGAACCCAGGACCCTCCGCCCTCTTTATTCATCTCTCTGTCTCTGCTGAATAGTCAGACAGCCTGACCGCCAGTGCCAGCCTGCCATGCTGACGGCGCTAAACTGCCGGGGTTTCCATACCCCATGACCCTTTTTTTTTACTTGGACGAGCCAAGTACATCCGCTAGTTCCGTAGCCACGCACCTGTAGCCACGGCCAGAAAGCTGCGTACATGTATGCGGCTGGAAAGGCGGGAACAAAAGCGCCGAGGCTGGGGAGGTTTGACGAGGGTGCGCCACAATTGGCCAAGAATGAATGTAGCATGGGTGGCGCAGGGGTGGGAATGCAGCCATCTACACATATGGCTGTTGCGAGGACGAGGCTGCGCTGGGCGCCAATACAAGTGCAAGCGCTGGGGTGGACACAGCATCCCGCTGTGCATTGGCTCGGGACGGACATGCAGTGGTAGTGGCAGTCTGCAGGATTACCGGTTCCCCTATGGATGCTTTCCCCTGGAGTTGTGCAAAGGATATGCATGGCTGAGTCGTATGTGCATGGGCATCGCTCGTGGCATCAGCATCAGGTGGCAGCCAAGGGTCCTGTCATGCAATGCTTGGCATTTGCTCCGCTACCACTACAAAAACTCAAACCCATCTCATTGGAGAATGACGTCAACGCAACACGTGAAAAAAACAAGCATCTCTAGCCGACCAGCGTGCGCTAGTGCTAGCATACCCCGGGCAAAAGCCGCAAAACAAGGCGCGTAAACAATCTAGACGTCTGCGAATGGGGGGTTCCAATCTGGTGTCTGCAAAACGGCGTCGCCCATCATCCATCCTTTTCAATTTGTTATGCAGCTCGTGCATCAATAGTTATCCAACATGTCCGAGTCTGCATGCAATTCTTAGATAACATTCGTCTTCTCAAAGCTCTTACTCCTGGAACAATCCCAGTTCAACACGTTGCCACGCTTCAATACTCCGTCCTGTAGCTGGTTAGGGCGTCACGGCTCATGTCACGGCGGGGAGAGAGGATGCGCAGACGGTGTTGCGCATTCGTCGATGGCGGCATCGGGAGACAACGGCACGGTATCGTCTACGTCGTCGAGAAGCGGGCGCAAGGGGGGCTGTGGCGGTGGCACGAGTACTGAAACTAGGCCAAGTTAGATGTGAGCTCTATGCTAAAGACTTGTGAAATAATGGCCAAATGTACATTTCGAGTATGTAATACAACAATCTTCGGGTATCTGAAACAACGTGACAAATGGTGGCGAGTGGAGAAGGGTGGTGAATCGGCTTCCAAGTCGTCTATTCTTTTTGGCAGCTGCGCCTTGACAACAAGGTGGGAATCGCAGTGACTATCCTAATGGCGGACAAGAGGGTTGAGGAGAAGGGGATACACTAATCTAAGGGGCTGAGCGGGATGGGGGTGTGTGTGCGCGCGTGAACTGGAAAAAGGGTGTAGCAGCATGGACGAAGGGAAGGGGGATGGGCTATGTAGTAATAACATCAGACATTCGGCATCATCGTGTCGCATTATCATGAGAAGGGCAGTGAAGTGTGCGCAGAAAAGAAGAAGAAGAAGAAGAAAAAAGGGACAAAAAACAAAGCAATGGCCCTAGGCGGACTGCGCTTTTACCATCCATTTACGAAAGGCTTTGGCCTTACTCCCTGTGGCCTTGCTCGCTTGTGCATCCAGGTGGCTTGCGGCAGTAAAGGCTTCGACGACGCTCATGGCGTTGGCCTCCTCATCTTCGTTGAAGGTGATGAGGTCGAGGAATTGGCGCAGGACAATGGAGCCAAGCTTGGCGTGCGCCTGCTCGACGTAGTCGGAGTTGACCGTGTCGGCAGAGGTGCGGGCTATGACGCTCCACCCATCGGGCTTGAGTGACGCCTGGCGCGCGAGCAGGCGTTCGCTCGAGGCAAGCAGGATAAAGGCGCGGATGATGGCGTCCTTGTTGGTCGTGTGCTCGGGGGAAACGTCGAGCACCTCGAGGAAATCGTCCAGCGAGGCGGTGCCGATGAAGGTGTGGCGGTGCTTGTACTCGAGGTCGCGCTCCTGCTGGATGGCCGTGGCAGCGGGCGTCTTCTTGGTCAGGCGCTTGGGCGTGGCGGGGAGGAGGGAGCGCGTGTTTGTGGGGCTTTGGAGGTGGTGGTGGCGGGGGTTGTCGCTGGGCGAATTGGCCGTCTTGATGGGGAGGCCGAGCGAGATGCGGCGCTGGTGCGTGTTGGCGGAGCGCTGGGGCTTGGTTGTGTTTGCCTGCAGCTGCAGGAGGCCCTCGTTGGTCTTTGTGCGGATGGGTTGGGTGCGCGAGCGCTGCGTGGTGGCCAGGCGCGACTCGAGCGTGGGCGTCGAGGGCGAGCGCAGGTGCGAGGGGCGGCGCTTGTGCACGGCGACGGGCTCGTCCGAGTCGTCCTTGAGGTCGGGCGACTTTTGCAGCTGGTCGTAGGGGAAGTATTCGGGCGGGGGGCGGTCTTCCTTTATTCGGTCCAGCGAGTAAAGGAGCGGCTCCTCGAACAGCGTGGCGTCGGTGGCCAGGCCCAGGGCGTCGGCGGGGTCGAGGGCGCGGGTGCGGGGGCTCGCGCGGGGGCTGCTGGCCACAAACTTGAGCCCGTTGACGTCGGCGGGCATGACCCAGTGCTGCACGCCCTGCTGCGCCCGCATCTCGTGCTTGAGCTTGCTCTCGAGCGCGCTCTCCGTGTCGCTGGCCATGGAGAAGCGGCGCGAGGGCGTGCGCGAGGGCGACGAGGGCGGCGGCTGCTGCTGCTGCTGCTGCTGCGTGTCGTACCCCGCATTGCGCAGCGCATTGAGGATGGAGCTGTCCCCGCGGTCGAGGTAGAGCAGGCCGGTCCTCCACATGGCGGGCCTTGTCGGGGGGGTCGTTGCTGTCGTGATTGTCGTGATTGCCGTTATCGTCGTCGTCGCTATCGTCGTCGCCGTCGTCGTCGTCTACTATCCGAGTCGTCAATCGGCGTCGAGGGCTCCTGCTGCGTGCGACGGCCGTACCCAACAGTCACCCTCTGCAATCTTGTCGGACGCGGACAGCAGCAGGTGGGCGCGATGTGCCGCGTGGGTAGCTTTAGTACTTTGTGGCCGCATGCGGGTGATATCGTCGGCCGGCGCTAGTGCCCGCTTTCACCGCCATTTTCGCTCTTTGTGGGTTTGGCGCTGCTGGGGGCGAAGAAAAGTCTGTCGCTGCCAGCCACGGCGGCGGTGCCTCTTGCCCGCTCTCGGCCTAACCCCTCGCCCAGCTCCCACCACCACGCCCATGTTGCTTTTATTAGGAGCCGCCGGCCGTCGTCGTCGTCGTCGTGGCCGCACACGGTAGTCGTTTGGAGCAGCAGCAGCAGTTGAGCGCTGGTGCGCATGCCAATCAAGCGTGCCCGTGGGCGTCGGCTGACCTGGCCACGACCGCCAGCATCACAGCGCCGCCTGTCCACACGCACACCCTGTACCTGCATGGCCGTCGCATCCCGAAACAAGCCGGCAGCGGACGAAAGCGCTCCAGCCAGGTCGACACGCTGCTACCGCTGCTGCTACTGCTACTGCTACTGCTACTGCTACTGCTGCTGCTGCTGCTGCTGCTGCTGCTGCTGCTACTGCCACCACGCATTGCCGGGCGCGGCTGCTGCCATGACGTGGTCGCCGCCGCGCAGGGCTGAAGAACGAATGCGAATGTCGCCATATGGCCGGCAGCTTCTCGGCCGTGAGAGACATGGCATGCTGGAGCAAGGGCGAAAATCAGCGGGGCAGGTGACCGTGCAAAGTCACACTGGAACGGGCGCTCGCTGCTGCTGCTGCAAGGAATAACGACAGCTGTGGGTGGGTGGGAATGTGTTCGCGTGCGTGGGCTGCCTCGATGCGACGACGCCAACCCCGCAGTCGTTGTCGTCGAAGCCTGCGCTGGCGCCGCCTGCCGGCCTTGTTTGCGCGCCTGTCGTCGAATCGCACACTGACGCGTGCTCGTGCGTGTGCGTGCGTGCGTGCGTCGTTGTCATCTCGTCCATGGCTCTTTCCTCGCCCTGCCATTCCCCCCCGCCTGCGCCTGCCCTCTGCTGCCTCTGCTGCCTCTGCTGCCTCCGCCGTCTCCACTGGCACCTTCCCTCCATGCCAGCCCACTCCATACTGACATACATGCGTGCGTACAGACATGCGGCCCTGCTGCGGACCCACTCCGCTCCTGCCACGCGTGACGTGTTTTTGTTTGTGCCCGCCCGTCGAGTGGGCAACAGCCTGTCGCCGGCTCTCCAGTCGCCCGCCGCCGCCTCTGCCTCTGCCACGGCCTCTGCTGCCGCCGCCTCTGCATTAAACACGCGAGCCGCCGTCTGCACGTACATACATATACACATCCACATCCCCCTCGTGCCCAGAGACAGGCCGCGTTCCGCCTCCGCGGCACAGCGCTGCCATGGCCAGGCCTGCCCGTCGCTATTACTGGCACAGGCTCCGATGCTCAGCGTGGTAACCATGCTGCGTCAACGGCCCGTACCCGCTAGCCGTCTCTGGGTCTTGGCGTAAACAAACCTAGAAACAACCGAGGAGCCACCTCTGCACCAAAGTGCCGTCCAGCTTGCTGAGCTGAGCGGCGACGCTCTGCACCCGCCTGCCCGCCTCTCGTCTTCTTCTTCCTCGACGCCCAATTCGCTCTCTCTGCACCCCGCGAGAGCAATCAAGCGTGCCGGTCGTCGCCCTCAGAGTTGGCGAAGAAAAAAAAAAGAAACAAGCCAATAAATAACCACTACCCCACACACCCACACCGCTCGAACCTTCCTCCTTTCGCTCCGACTCAGCTCCGCTCATGGGCTTCCCTACTGCCTCGTCCCTTCCACCTGTCCACTTGCTCCGCCGCTGATAGTGCTGCCCGCCACAAGGTGCAACCCTCCCGCCCACTCGTTGCCCTGACGCTCGTATTCCTCCGCCCTACAGGGCACGCACATCGTCGTCATCATGGACGAAGGCTCTCCACCTCCCCCGCCTCCACACGGCGCCAACCCCAAGACGACCCAGGGCAGCCATGCCCCTCCCCCCTCACCCGCCCCAAGCGGTGGTCTTCCGCCAGGCAACTATGACATCTTCATCATACCCCCGCACGCTTCGGGTGGCGGCTTCATATACCTGCCCAGCATGGGCGTGCAGCAGAACAGCTTCATCGCTGGCGTCCTCAGCACCATAGCCAGCATAGTTCTTTGGAGGGCCGCCGAGCCCCACGTCAAACAATACTTCTTGATTGTTAGGCAAGGCGTCTCGACGGGCGGCAATGGCGTCATTCTGCTGGCCGTCATCATGCTTGTCATGGGATGGGTCTTTGGTCAGACACAGGCTGGCGGCCGATTCAGTAGCGGAGGTGGTGGTGCATATGGCAATGGACCACGTGGCGGTCCCGGTGCAGGCGCAGGTGCCGGTCCCGGTACTTGGCTGCTTCTTCTTTGGCCTTTTGCTCGGCTTCCCTCTTTTGTCGTGCTTCTTCAGCGCGTTTGAGTTCTTCCCATGCTCGTCTGCGAGCCTCCTCTTCCTTCTTTTTCTTGGCTTCCTCGGCCGCCAGGCGAGCTTCTTCAGCTTTCCGGCGTTCCTCGTCGGCCCTGCGTTCCTCCTCTGCTATGCGTTGTCGTTCGGCTTCCTCTTGCCTCTTCTTCTCCTCTTCGGCTAGCCTCTGTGCTTCTGCCTCGCGCTTCTTTCTCTCCTCTTCAGCTAGCCTCCTCTCCTCGGCCTCGCGTTTCTTTCTCTCTTCTTCGGCTAGTCGCTGTGCTTCAGCCTCCTGTCTTTTCCTCTCCTCTTCGGCCAGTCTTCTTTCCTCGGCTTCACGCTTCTTCCTTTCCTCTTCAGCTAGTCGCTGTGCTTCTGCCTCGCGTCTTCTCCTCTCCTTTTCGGCTAGCCTTTGGGCCTCGGCTTCACGTCTCTTCCTCTCCTCCTCAGCTAGTCTCCTTTCCTCAGCCTCGCGCTTCAGTCTGGCCTCTTCAGCTTGTCGCCTGGCCTCTTCGGCCTGTCGTTTGGCATCCTCTGCTTGTCGCTTGGCCTCTTCAGCACGCTTACGCTCCTCTTCAAAGCGTCTGCGTTCTTCCTCTTGGGCTTTGGCCTTTGCGGCTCGCTCGCGCTCTGCTTCCTCTTCTTTTCTCCTCTTGGCCTCTTCAGCTCGCCTGAACTCTTCTTCTTTGGCCTTCTTCCTGGCTTCTTTGGCTCGTCTGTGCTCTTCCTCCTTTGCCTTTCTCTCCTTCTCCTCGGCGCGTTTCTTCTCTTCGGCGCGCTTCTCTTCGGCACGCTTCTCTTCGGCGCGCTTCTCCTCAGCACGTTTCTCCTCAGCACGTTTCTCCTCAGCACGTTTCTCCGCAGCACGCTTCTCCGCAGCACGCTTCTCTTCAGCACGTTTTTCCTCGTCGGCACGTCTCCGCTCCTCTTCAGCTCGCTCGGCCTCTTCGTCAAACGAGGGCCCTTGGTCCGAAGGGGGCGGTGGCGACGAGGCACCGTACTGGCGGTATCCGCCCCATCCGCCGTGGGGCGGAGGGGTGTTTTGATAGCCGCCGCCGCCGGGAGGGGGTGGAGGTGCGCGTTGGTAGCTAGAGCCTCCAGGAGCTTGCGCGTGCCAAAGCCGAGAAAGAAAAATGGGAGCAAATGCGCAAGCGGGAACGCGAGCAGCGTGAGCGTGAGGCGCGAGAACGCCTGGCCAAAGAGAAAGCCCGCAAGCAACAAGAGGCGTTGGAGAAGGAAAAGGCAGAACGCGAGGCGCGCGAAGCCGAGGCACGCGCTCAAATCGAAAAGGAAATCCGCGAAAAGCTCGAAGCCGAGCAGAGGGCCAAGGCGGAAGAAGAGGCCGCAAAGAGGGCTGCCGAAGAAAAGGCTGCCGCCGAAGCTGCCGCAGCAAAGGCAAAGGCTGAAGCAGAGCTTGCCGCTGCCAAAGCAAAGGCAGATGCTGAGCGAGCTGAGCGACTCAAAGCTGCACGTGAACGAGCTCAAAGAGACCGCGAGGCTCGTCAAAAGGCTGAAGCAGAAAAGGCCAAGATCGCTGAAGCCGAAAGGATGAGAGCTGCCGCTGAAGCCGAAAGGGTCCGAGCTGCCGCCGAAGCAGAAAGAATCAGAGCTGCCGCCGAGGCAGAGAGAATCAGGGCTGCTGAAGCAGAAAGAATCAGGGCTGCTGAAGCAGAAAGGATCAAGGCTGCCGAAGCGGCTGCGGCGGCTGCTGCTGCCCCAGAGATTACATCAACCCGAAGATCTACTACATACGGTGGCATCGGTGGCGGGGAACGGCTCGATCCTTATGCAGGCGTGAGAAGTCCACCTGCTCCCTCTGTCACCTCTACCCAATCCTCTCACATCAAGGCCACTGTCACACCCAAGAAAAGTTACGAGAAGCCATCTGCTAAGTCGTACCTTAGTAGTGAAGACGCTCAATCTTTCGTGCCGCCTCCTCGGTCTACCACTGCTCGATCACATGTCTCTTCGCAGTACTCTGAATCCTCTTACGCACCATCGCAGTCGACTGCACGCACAACGCCTCCAGCTTCTCGGAGTGGACCATACTCGACAGCCGACCCCAACAAGATTGTCATCAAAGCCGTTTATCTCTTCAATGACTTGTTTCCAAAGCCTGTTGCACAGCTTGTCGCCAATGTGGGCAGGGTCACTGACGGTCTGATCCTCAAGATCCAGTCCGAGGGTCTTTTCATCGACGACGACGTTCGAGGCATTCCACAGCGTGAGTGGGATGTCAAGGCTTGGACTCTGAAGATGGTCGAGGTAAGTGGTCTTTTACTATAGTAAACCGACCAAGGTGCTAATGTATCATACAGACGGGCAAACAACCCGCCAAGAACCTGCACATTCTGCGTGCCTCGATCCGCGATACCGACGGCAAAAAATACGTCTTCCTCATTGATGAAAACGAAAGCTGGAAACTTAATCTTGGCCTGCAGCGTCTTCGCAAGGGCAGCCAAGTGCGTAGTCTACAGTCTGCCCAGATGGCTCCCAACGAGATTGCCCGTGTGCTCAACGCCGTACCGCCAGTTAACATCTAAGGAAAACAAACTGTATTGGCAAAAGAAAATCCGAGTCACTTGTGTATAAACTGCGCTGGGATGTGCGGGCCATGTGTTGACAAGAGGAAAGGTGGTTGTGGTTGTGGTTGTGGTGGTGGTGGTGGTGGTGTTGTTGTTGTTTTTGTACAGGTACGGACCAACGCAGCCCATGAAAAGACATGATATCCCGATGCGTCAGACTAGCTTTATCGCGTCTTTTCCATGATGAGCATCAGCGGCGGCGTTTGTGTTTATTCTTTGTTCTATGCTTTTTTTTATATCCGTATGCATAGCCATTCGTTTCTTCCTTCGTTAATTCGCCTTCTTTTCCCGTGAGAAAAGCTTGTTTCTTTTCTTGTATGTACATGCTGGGTTTTGGAGTAATGTCGGGATCACGAGGCTGCATTGACCAATGGACCTTGGTACATGCAATTGCGTGCCCCTCGCTTGGTAGGAGGGACATGAGCCAGACAGATTAACGAATCGATTGTCACGACTTGATTATGTTTGAAAATCCGACTTGTGTTGAGAGATTGACATTTTGGGTCTGCAAAGAAAGATGATGGTCACCTTATTTTACTACCTTGGAGTCCCCTTCGCACCACCTTGTCTTCGATCGGTATATAACATCCATGTATATCAATCGCATCGTGCCCCCCCTTCAATCATGATGAGATCACTTCCCCTCTCATTCATCTGTTTCCTTGATTGATAGATACCACATGCAGAGAGTTGACTTCCCAGTTCAGTCCCGTCGTGTCATGTCCCGTCCTTCTCCCATTTCCAAAGGCACTACGGACAGACTGACAGACAACCAGACAGATCCACCCTAGGCCTTTGGTGTATCGATCGAAAGCTTGATGGCCTTGTACGCAACAACAGCCGAGCAAGCATCACTCAGCACAGGCTGAAGAACAGGTCCAGAGTCGCAAGACTTGGCAGAGTAGACGTTCACTACATTGTTTTCCGACTCAGTCTCTGTCCCCATCACAAGTGAACGGAAAAGACAGAATTCACTTACAGGCATTGTACTTGACCTGACCCTCGACGCCGGCAACACGAAGGCTCTTGACGCCTGCGCTGAAATCGTAGCACTTGTCTGCTTCGATGCGGGCGTAAGTCGGCTTGCCATTGCAGTTGTCACTGTAGAAGAGGTCGACGAGGACATTGGCTTTGGCGGGTGCGGTAGAAGCAGTCTCCATGTTGGTCGCGGGGAAAGCGGTGCTCATGGTGGCGGCAAGGAGGCCGACGAAGAGCTTGGTGAGCATGGTTGCTTGGTGTTTTGTCTTTGTGAGTGAGTGAGTGTGTCTGTTTTGAATGAACGAGTGACAGAGGTTTAGATACTCGAGTTTGAGGTCAGAGTTGAAGGAAAGAGAGTCGTGAGCTTTATACGAGGTGGGAAGGAGACAAACAGGACACTGGATTGGGAAAGTGGGTCCAGGGTCCAGCAACTGCGACGGTGAAGGTCACGGTGAAGGTGAGAAAACTACGAGAGCAATCTAACAAAGATTTTGTGATTGTGATTCACCATGGTGGGAACTTGACTGGACCAGGAAGTGAAATTGCTGGAAACTTAGGAGTCGTCATAATTTTATTCAACACCGCAACCCTGGATTGAGTCGAAGTAGGGTATACACAAATAGAAAATCATCACATGTCGTGTGCGAGACGCGTCAAAGGTGAAAATGCCAGGGTCATCCTCTGGTCTAGATACGCACAACAGAAAGATGTTTTACAATGCCCTGGACTACCATGTCATGCAGTCGGCATCTCTTCTTTTGGAAGCTCATTCGGTAACTGGCTTTGCACCTGCAATCTGTCAGCATGTGAATTCACTTGTGGAGTAGGTTACGCACCCAACATCCAGCCAATACCGGAAGCAAGAGCCCCTGTCGCAGCATTGGTAACCATATCCCTCTTCCTAACACGCTCCTGGCCCTCGATGCTACCCGACTCACTTCCGTCCATGCTAGCACGACTTGACGCAAGCTTCGGGTTCGATGCAGCTCCTACACTTCCGCGCAGAGGGAACGCTGTCTTGGAGAAGGCTGCCGCTGCACCGCGTGCCACATCAAACAAGCCCATTGGCGCCTCTTCTACCGCGCCCCTGCCGACTTCACGGCGAGGTTGAACACTGACCGTGTCCATGTCGAAAGTACCAGGTAGCTTTCGGTCTGCTGCGTCGTTGAAACGTTCTTCTGCCTCGTTCTCTTGAGCTAAGAGGTGCATCGTCTCGGCTTCGCATTGTTGCCATACGCAAAGAACTTCTTCAAGATGGTTAGGCGGCGCCAACAAAAGAGCCTGTGAAAGTAACTCCATGCGTTGCTCCAGTCTCCTCAGATCTGGCCTCGCCGTGTTTGCAGCCTGTGACCAGGAATTGGATAGAGACGAAGAGTTGTAGCGCCCAGCACGTAGAGCAGCCCGCCAGGCGACATCCTCCGCGTCGTCCTCATGATCCTCGTTGTCGCCAAGCCCGTATGAAAGATGCTGAGATGATGCCGAGGGTGTCCCTGACGGCGTAGATGGTGTCAGCCGGTTTACGACGTATGAGTAGGCCGTCTCAAAATCATCCTCCTCGAGTGCAGCCTCAATTGCCATTCCGATTACTCTTCTCTCGGTGGCTGTTTTTTTCCGCTCAATCTCGGCCGGATCGGACTCGGTGTCCCATCCCTCTTCGTCCATGATTGTCGACGGCATTGCCATGACCAAATTCTGACCAATAGACACCAAGTCATCCAGCTTTGTGTAGCTGCCGCTGTTTTGCGATAGCAACTTCCGTACCAGAGACAGAGGATTCGAACTGACCCTAATGTTGACTGGTTGAAAGGGTACACCGTGTTGGAGTATGAGCGAGTAAAAGGACATAGCGTGCGTTGCTGAAAGCAAGGCCTCGAAACGCCGGAAGCGGGAAGAGGAAGGGAAATGGGGAGCAAAGGCAGTCAAGATGTCAGCAGCGCGTTTGACGCCGCCCCTGTTGCGATTTCCATTGCTTGCGTTGTCGTAAAAATGCATGGCTGAAGCGAGGGCAACTTTCTCTACATCAGAGGGAAGAAGCGGCCGCTGACCAAAGGCCGGCTTCAGGTAGGTTTCTATGGCCAGAGACAGGTGGTTGCTCCCCAGAAGCGCTTTCAGAATTTCCGTCTCCATGGTCTTCCTATCTAGCATCCCGAAGATACCCTGGGCCCTGCGGTCCTCATCGTGACTATCCGTGCCCCAGTTCCATAGCCACACCAGCTTCGACCGAATGATACGCCATTGCTCGCTGTCTCTTTTCGAGGCACTGCTGGGCGTATGGAGTATTTTCTGCAACACGGACATTTGCTCCGAGTAGTCATCTCGCAGAGACATGTTTGCAACGTCTCGGATTGACAAGGGGTGCTGCAAAGTAGAGAGGGTATATGAGGTGAAGACGAAGAGTTGCAGGATGCGAAATGCGTCAGGTCCCGGTTGCGTGAGAGCGTTATCGGGATCGAGCAGACGCTCTTCTCTAAGTAGAGCAGGCGTCGAGTCATGTAGCAGAGGGATCTTGAGATCGTAGCGAGGCAGTTTGTCCGTGCCTATGCCAAGTTCCGGGAGCGGGTCGTAGTTCAGCAGTGTACATATCCGGTCTAACAGTGTATGTGCAGTCTGCAGCGAGCCGGCGTCGCTTTGATGGACCAGGTAGAGGCAGGCAAGAGCTGTGCGTGCATACTTGATCTCGAGCTGACGCTGCTGCGTGTCCTCGACGTAGTCTCGCCCTTGTTCATAACCACCCAGATCCATGTCCTCAGGCCCGTCCCAGTGGGAAATGGCGGTTGCGACCAGTGCCAGGCGCTCCTTTGATGCATGCAGCAGCCATTGGAAAAGACAGTCCCAGTCGTCGGGCGTGTGTGCTCGCCCGTCGCCCGTCGTAGAGCTTCGCCGCCTGCGATCTGGGGCTCCGCACAGCCAGGGGGCGACGACGCCCTTCAGATCGCGCGCGACAATTTGTGTGTCTTCTCCGCTAGCCTTGCAGGCGTTCGAAAGCTGCACGTCGATGGCACGCCGTCCCGTCAGCGCGGCAAATTCATCGAGCGTGGGTGCAGCGCATTGCGGATAGTACTCGTAGCTGAGGCGCAGGAGGGGCAGGGCCGTGGATATGAACCACGTACGCAAGTACTCGGAGTGGTCGAGAAAGGGCACGACGAGCTGGGCAACGAGATCCAGCAGGCCGGTCTGGGCGTCTATGCGATGGGCGCGATGTATCAGGAAGTGGGTGAAGGGATCAATGTCACTGTCGCCGGCATACAGAGGATGGGCGAGCGGGGGGAGCGCCAGCGTGTGCACCCTCTTGCTTGCACGCGCGCCCGAAAGGTGCTCGACGGCGGCCAGGTCCAGGGCATCGGCAGGGCTCTCGCCGGCACAGCGCGAGCCCGTGTTCAGCGCGTGGAGGAGGTCGTGGTACGCAGCGGGATCGTGTTCCTCGGGCAGGTAGTGGAGCAGGATGCTGAGGCTCAGCTCCAGCGGCAGGTCGCCGTCTCGCAGGGCCGTCAGGGCATGCAGCGCGGGGATGTTGGCGCGGGTGGCATAGTGCACGGCCAGGAGGACGCAATGCGGGCCTGAGAGTCTGGACAGCTTGTGCAGAGCCGCCATGGCGAGCGGGCGAGGCGAGGCGAGGGTTGGGTAGGGGAGCGTGAACTGGTCGCGGAGTGCATGCGCATACGCCACGCCGACCGAGACGCTGTAGGCAGGATGTAGGCCGGCTGCAATTCGCTACGTCAGCCGCCAAGCGCCCCGCGCCCCGCTAGTGCCGTGTCGAGACAAGTGCCGGCCGGGCCCAGGCCAGGCCAGCAACGTCGACTGCTTCTTCATCATCGTCTTCTCCTCCATTCCATCTCGGTCTCCATCCCCATCTCTATCCTCTGACGCCCGCGCACGCCTTCACACACCGCCGCCGCTGAAACCCGTCGACGCCTGCGGCAAAAAGAAGCTTTCCCCCAAGCTGTCCGCCCACGTGTCGCCAATGTGCTCGCTTCCTCGCGCCCTCTCTGCCAAGCCCTACATCAAACATGCCGTGTTTCCACCACCGAAACAAAGGTGCAGCAGCACCCTTCTCAATCCAGCCCTTGCTCCCGCAGATGAAGCTTTTGTGGTGCCTGGAGCTACGCATCAAATAGCTTGGGGTCGCTGCCTGATTTGGTTTCCTTGATCTTCTTACACTCCGTTTGCTCTCCTTGAGCCTGTACATTGCTCGATACCCCAAGACCGTCCACTGCTCAACGGCGCCATGTACATTGACACCGCAACGGCAAACAGCCGCTCAGCCCGGCCCCAAATCATAATCTCGCCGTCTTTTCCCCATGACGGCTCGTCGCCGCTCCTAGAGACTTTCATAGGCCAGGATGCAGAGGCCCCTCCCAGCTATCTCGAGGCTACTACCCCCGGCCTCTACACAAGTCGGCAGAGCGGCGAAGAGGGCGCCAGGCTGCTCTCCTTTGACGGCCGACGAGCCAGAGATGCCACCTTCAAGGAGGACCAGTATGCCCGACAGAGCCTGTGGAAGCGCTGCATCCGGAGCCCATGGTTCAGATTGCTCGCAGCCATGATTGTCTTCCTGATGATAATCATCATGATGATCTTGATGGCGGCCGCTGTATCCATTCGAAGAGATCAGCAAGTCAGTCGCCGACGTTAGAAGCTGAACATGTTTCAACAGTGCTAATTTGCCCACAGGATGCAGCAGCGACAGCTCCCAGACCATCTGCCCAGCCGGCACAAGCCGACACTGGGCTGTCAGAAGAAGGTGTTGCACATGGTAACGACGGTTCCACTCGGCCAGACCTCACCACTATCCTGTGGCCATCGCCCTCAGTAACGGCACAACCCGGTGGTAATAGTGACTCCAGTCGACCAACCCCTGTTGCCGTCCCGCAGCCGTCACACTCAGCAACAGCACAACCTGGCGCTGGCGATGACGACGACTCCAGTCGGCCAGATCTTATTGCCATCCCATGGCCATCGCCCTCGGCAGCAGCGCAGCCCCCAGCGTCGGCAGACTCGGCACAGGCTTTCCCGATTCGATGGCCATCAAAATGTGGCAAGGAGTACAGCGTCAGGACGGAATGGTATGACTTTGGCAAGACGAGCGATCTCCACATCCAGGAGGCAATACATCAACTGGATGGCTCCTACAGACGCGTTGCGGGTTGGGTACACATTGCCCAAGCACCCGCTGAGCAAGCCCCGGGTACTGTCAAGGTCAAGATGTCGTATGCGATTTCATCCACGGTCAGCGTCAACAGCGTCAAGTACTCGCGTACTCCAACAGGACTGGTTATTGGTGATCCCTCGTTCCCAGACGGCTTTGACGGCGTGCGAGCTGGTAAGGCATGCCTCGGCATGTCAGTTGTGATATATGTTGCGTCGGGAGCCTCGATGAAGACACTCAAGATTGCGTCCAATCACATGGGCATGCAGATTCACCGCGGCGCCAACTTTACCGTCACAGATTCCACATCGATATCCCTCACCACGGGCACACTGGATGCCGTCAGCTTCGACTCGCGACAAACACATCTGAAGACCATTTCTGGCTCCATTAGCGGCAAGTTTGCCCTCCGCGACCTCCTGTCCATTGTAACAAAGAGCGGCTCCGTCAACATTGACGTTGAGCCCCGGGAGGCTGCTCCGGGTTCATCTAATCCCGCCGTCTTCATGGTTGATTCGCTGTCTGGCAGCATCCGGACCGACTTCAAGCGAAAGCGGATTCCTGAGCGAGACTATCAGACTTTTGTCAACACGACCGTCGGCTCCGTCGACGGCAGCTTTATCCACGGTTCGCGAACAGAGATGAACTCGGTTGCAGGGCTCATCACAGCAGACATCCTCCCATTCAAGTCGGGTGATTACCAATCAGAGATATACACGCACACACACTCTGGGCAGACGTCGTTGACGCTTCGCTCGCCGTACAAGGCCAAGAGAGTGCCGATGAATGGCCTTGTCAGCACGCACAAGAGTAGCTCGGGAGGGCTGGCCGTGACATATCCCCAAGAATGGACTGGCCACATCGATGGGACATCTCTGAGCGGAGCATTGCACTTGCAAGGGAAAGAGTTGGAGCTACTGAACGAGAACGATACCCCCGGAAAGAACCATGTTGAGGCTAAGAAGGGTAATGGTGCTAGTACTCTGAGTTTTGATACGACAAGCGGAGAGTGTGAGATCAAGATCGGAAAGGTGTAAGAGAAGGCTCTGGGGGGGGGGGCTTTTTTTCATGTGCTCAGGATGGAATCTGCATCAAGCTTGAATACCAAAATGGGGTGTTGACGGGCGAATTTGTACTGTAATGGCGAGAAGAGGCCATTTGGCTGCCACTATTACTAATGGAATGGTGTTGAGCCGGCTTATTGGGGAATGTATGCCATGGATAGATGCAATGTGCAATGTCGATGCGGGCCCGAGATGGTGCTCCACAGGTTGATGTGATTAGACAGTGCCCGTAGGATGGTGGTGTGATTGCACATGATGTTTGGCCTGGCAAGAATGGCCTGGTGTGCAGAGAGAGGTTTGTCGTTTCAACCACTGCTCCGTGCATAGTTGGATATGATTGCCGATTCCGGTGACGCCAGTGGGGGCACGTGATTGGACATGGTACCTGCACCGGTGACGAGCGATAAAAACGCGCCGTGTTGGATAAAGGCGCAGACGGTGGCATGGGCAGTCGGTGCTGGGGCCATGACTCTCTCTCTCTGTGTGTTCGGATGGTGCCATAGATAGGTGTAGGGCTGAGGCGCATTACCGGTGTTCACCCAGTCACCTCTTGTGGCGCGCGGGGGGGGGGGCATGTGGAGCATGGGCACATACAGTAGCGTGCACGTCCGGTCCGGTCCACTGCATGTCAACTTGGTCATGCGTGCTTGTTTGCGTGCGACGCGCACACAGACAGAGAGACAGGCACACCGACTCATCAACCTCGCTCTGGGGAATATAAACATGTTGGGATCTATCTATGACTGCATTGGCAAGGCTAGTGTTGGATGTAGGGCGGCGGCCCCGGTGCGGAAAAAGCCACAGTGCTGATTATAGCACAGTGGATCGCTTTGATGTGCAATCGCAAGATGAGGGCGCCGTCTTTGGGGGGAGGGTGTGTCTGTGTGTGTCCAGGGGCGGGGGGTTACGTGGACTTGAGATCTGGGCCTGTGAAGACGTGGACCGGGTACAGGGCTTGCCTGTGTATAAAGAGATCGTCTTATATGTAACTATGTACTCATAAGATATCCGGCGCCCGGCGATAGGCCACACCCTGACATGACAATCAAACACCGGGTCAAGGCTAAGGATAATTTTGGCAGATCTTATCTCGTGATTACTTTGATGTTGTAAGGCTGGATTCTCGGCGACGAGTATGGGCGTACATAAGCCCAGATAGTGCCTTGGGTGTGTTCAAGATATGAGGCCGGATGTGCATTTTGAGAAGCATACAGCGTAGGTCAAGCGGACGCAGGGAAACTCGAACAGAACCGTTCCGAGAAAACACACGGATTGGTTGTGCTCGTGTGGTGTTGGTCATGTTGGTCATGGCTGGCCGCCCATGCCAAGGACTTGGGGGAGGCTAGTAGTTGCGAGAATAACAGTCGACCAGGCTAGTTGCCGGGAGGAGAGAGTCGCAATTAGTGGCTGTGGCGCCATTGGAGGAAACTGGCCGGTGACCGAGGGGCACTAATTTCTGGGGGGCACAATCTGTAATGCTGATGATGGGGATGCAGGCTGCACCTTGCAGCACATCGTCGCGCCTAGCCCGTCGCAGGCAGTATCCGAA